AAGATGAACATTTTCTGGGGATCGAATATACAGAAGGGGTGGTGATGGATGTGTTAATTAATTTGATTGTGGTAATAATTACACAATGTTAATGTGTCAAATCATCATGTTGTTCACTTGGGATATATTTAGGCTTTACTTGACAATTAAATATTTTAAAATAAGAAAACAGAAACACTATTAAAAAATTTCTTTAAATATACAGATGGCCAGAGAAATAAGTAGTTTCCTGAATTTAGGTTACAAATTCGAAATTTATCTCTTTAAAATCTCTTCAATACCCAATACTATCACAGTGATTCTTTCTAAGGAACTTCAAGGCAAAACTATAAGCACTTTTTCCATCTGCCTTTAAAGGTAAAAGGACTACTTTGTAGTTTGTTACCATAGAGAAATAATGAATACACCATAGCCATTTAGGAAATGATGCCAAAAAACAATTCATGAAGTTTTCAAAGTTGAAAACATAGGACAAGAAAAACTGACACACACACACACACACACACACACACACACACACAAACAAAGAAATCTTGGAAATTTTAGAGAGTATGTTTTCCCTTTCCTCATCAGAACAGGATAAAATGAATATTTATTACTAAGGAGTGGGCAATATATTACTCAATTTAAATTCATGATTTACAGAGAATAATTGCAGCAAAATGACCCTCATTTCGGAGTTCCTAGTAAAACGGAAGGAACCATTACATGAAACAATGGTCAGATATGCTCAAGGATTTCTCCAGCTTGATGCCAATGATGTTTGAACTTTGAAGCCTTTTTCAGCTTCACCACAGTTCTATTGCCTCAATGAAAATTGAACTTGGCTCTATGTTTATTCAACTTAGACTTCACAGTAATGTTTTTTGCAATGCAGGGCCATTATCTATGGCTTTGTATTGGCCAACTGCTCTGGCAAGTGTGGAACACTCGTTTTCCATGATTTTATAACCTTGTGAATTACGGCACCACAGAGAGGAGACTCAGAGGCCAGGACAGAAGTGGTGCCAGTGACACCCTGGAGAAAACTGGAGCATCAACTGACAGACGCGAGGGCCCCCTGATTTAATCACAGTTGTAAATACACTTAGTTAGTATGCTAGCATAGTGTACATTCCTAACTTTAATGTACAGTTCTAAAGGCCGTGATTACAGATGGAGATGATGCTGGTGCCATTACTGGGATGCTACAGTGGAAATTAGCATGTCAATTTACTAGACGGTAAGAAGACTTCTGGAAGGCGGAGACTTTCATCCATTTGGTTCACAGCTTTCTTTCCAGTGCTGACGAACTTTCCTGAGCACTCAACAAATGTTTGTTACTTGAATGATCATTTTATGAAACATCTCTCATTTATTAGAAAAATAAATTAAGAACTCATTTGAAAGGGATTAACTATGAAATATCGTTACATTTTTTCCTTAGTTAAGATCCACTCATGGAGAGATGCGGCACTGCCACGTTCAAGTTATCATTGATTGTCCTTACCGGACTCCCCTGAAAAGAAATCGGTGCTAATGCATCCAGGTAGACCTTTTAGGATGTCCCATTCCACAGGTGGCACGTAAACATGCTTCACTCATGAGATCACTCTACTTGCACTTTACAAGACTGCTCAAACAACAGTTTTTCTATTAGACTAAGGTGCTTGGTCAGATTTTCTTGGTATGGCAAAGGTTACTTTTACACAGACTTCCCAAAAGGTTGTATTTTGCTATATTGATCCATTTTCCACAGAGATCTATGACTATATGCATCTCATCAGGCTGAGAAACACTTCTTGACTGTGTGTATCAGTACCATGTGGATGTTTTGGGTCATATTTACAATTTTGGTTTGCAGTGACATGCAATCAAGGGCATAAGGCCAGAGTGAAATTCATTCTATGTTTTATGAGTTTAGGGGCCTGGAAAATTGGAAGCAATACCCATACTTCAGGAAGCTCCAGGGGCTCAGGAAAGCAGGGAGTCTATGATACGGGGAGCAGTTTCCTGGCTAGTCCATGAAGTGACCAATACAGGGTTGTGGGAAAGATGTTATGAGTTTAGTTTCGGACATGTATAATCTGTTGCACCTGAGGAGTGTCTAGGAGTTAATGGGTCCGGAGCTACCAGGAGTTACAGATTTTGGAGTCAGCACCAAATAGCGATATTTGACGCTTTGGGCACGGAGGAGAGCACCCAAAGAGAAAGCATGTTGAATGAGAAAATAAGAGGGTTGAGGACAGAATGCCTGGAAACACCATAATTTAGGGGGCTGGCAGCAGAAGAGAAGCCAGCCAAGAACTAGAATAGGACAGAAGGCTGTCACATGGGCATCGCCGAGAGCCGGCAGCACAGTCAGCATTCTTAAATGACACAGAGAGACAGGGTAGATGAGGATTGCAAAAGTCTCTTTAGAAAAATTACTAGAAGGAAATACATAAAACATCCACAGGTATATTCCTGACTGGTGTGATATCAGGGGGCTTATTTTCTTCTTTCAACTTTCCTGTATTTTCCAAATTCTGTACAATAAATATGGGTTGCATTTATATTAAAAAGCTATAAAGATCTAAAACAAAGGCTCTGATCAAGTCTGAAATATCTTATGAGAACTTGAAGAAAAAAGCACATAATTATTAATTCACAAATATTTGAGTGCCCTTGTGCCGGGCACCATGCTAAGTAAGGACAAAACAATGAACAAGTGGACGGCTCTGTTGCTTTACAAAAAGCAATGCAAGCTGGTTTGGCAGAGGAGGGCTGCAGGGCTTGTGGGGCAGAGATGAGGCTGGAAAAGTCGTTTGCTGCCAGATTACAATGGATTTTATGTGTCTTGTCAAATAATATGGCCTTTATTCTGAAGGCTACAGAGAGGCTTTTGAGGGGCAGTTAGGATTGGAGTTGTGCTTTACCTGAAGTTAATTTTCTGCTCAACTTGGGCAGTAGTGTGGCTGCTGGCCTGGGAGAATCTAAGGCAGGAGACAGGGAGAAGTTAGCAGGCAACTGGGGATGGGCCAGGTCCAGAGATAGTCGGGAGTAGCATCAGTAGGTCAACAGGATACAACTGATTGGATGTATGACCAATAAATAAATAAATAAGGTAACAACAAACTTCTTCCCCCCAACCCGCCCAGGACCATAATTAGGGCAGCGCCCTTTCCTGAAACACTTTTCCTTGTCAAGTCAAGACCAGAATCACAACAGTCTGGAACAAGTGAGTTTCCAGTGCTAGCCTCATGCATGGCAATAGAGGACGCAGGGTAGAGGTTTGTGGGTCCGCCCTGTCTGACTCCCCTGAAATCACACCACTGAGGCAGATGCCTTTCACAGACACAAGGGAGGTCGCATTAGCTGGTCTCACTAGACATCATTATTTCTTTCACTCCTGGGGCCTGTCGGTGGAGGCTGCTGAAGTGAGAGCAGCGTCCCATAGGGGCAATGGGGGAGAAGTTCAAGGTGATACCTTGCATTCGTCCCTTCTCCATTCCTCTTTCTACTCCAGGGAAAGTAAAGGAGGACAATTGTTTTGGTACAGAAAAAAAAAAAAGAAAAGAAAAAGAATGACTACTGAGTTTTTAACTTGGATCCTATAGTTTGTATCTAGTTACTCTAATTGCTTGCTATAGGACATAAGAACGTGAGTGGCTGTGTCACATGGTATTATAACAGAGGGGATAAGGTGTGTGTATGAGATCTGTTTTCGAGACCACAGCCACAAAACAGAATCCTAAACCCTCAGCTATTTCCTTACTACGCATGTATATTGTGATACTTTTCTTTTTCCAGTCCACAGAATTCAACACTTCTGTGACAAAGAGGGGTGCTGGAGTTATTTTTTAGGCAAATGTTTACATATAAACAGTTATGGTCTCCCAGGAAGGGACTTTCTCTGTTGGATAGAGAAGTTTGGGAGAAGACTGATGAAACTGCATGTGCGGAAGAAACATTTAACTAAATGGGAATCTCTACTTTTAAGGCAAGGGACCAAAAATAGATAGGTTCCAAGAAAGTTGTATGCCTTGCTGCACCTGTCACGGTGCTGTACTTTATGCATTCTCTCACTTATCTCCACTTTACTGCAGCGTGGAAAACCAAGGCCTTCCGTTTCAGTTGCACACTGAGGGCAAGGATGCCCAGCTAGTAAGTTAAGGAGGCCAATCTGAACTTGGCTGGAAGTGCTTCTCTCCAGGACCAGCCAGACCACGACGTCTTTAAGTAAAAGCAACTCACATCCTTGTCATCTCACCCTGCAGTGAGGGAACTTCTGTTGCACAGACGATAACTACTCTTGCAGTGTTTGGCTGTGACTTACAAGGGACAGGCCTTCCTTATCGTCCTCGATCCTAAACCGGGCGCCAAGTGGTGTCAGGGAGGGCAGCAGCCCATCAAATGGTTACACCCTCAACACTGATAAGATTCCAAATAATGCCGTCTTTTCGATTGGTTGTTCCTTTCACTCCTTCGAGGTGTGGGCAGCGTTGCAAAATGAATTTTCATTCACTCTGAAAACAGCGGTTCTCAACACCACTTACGTCTATCTGCCCTCCTCACTGGATGGGACGCCCTCCTCGTCCCTACGTCGCAACCTTCAGGTAACCCCTTAGGATGGAGCGTCGGGCCCCGCTCTCCCCACTGCCGCCACTAGCCTCTGGCCTGACCGCAGCCTGCGCCCGCCGCCCCCAGCCCCCCACTCGGGTGTGCGCGCGACGAAGGGGAGAGCTCCTGCGCGCGAGCCACAGACTCACGAGCTGCCGCTTGTTGCTCCCGCCGCCGCGACGAGGGGAAGTGAAAATGAAATTGACTTTTCCGAGAAATGATGAAAGCGGCGCTGCCTGCCAATGAACAGCGGCGGCGAACTTCCGCACCTCCCGGCCCGGCCGCTCGCGCCCTCCCTCCGCCTCCACCTCCCGGTTGCACAAGCTTGAAACAAACACTGGGGAGGAAGGGCGGAGGGAGGAGGGCGGAGAGGGGAGGCGAGGGAGGGAGCGAGGCCGGGAGGAGGGCGGGGGGTGGGGGGATTTCCATCCTCAGCTCTTCGCAGTTTCCTCTCCTTGTTTTGCTTTCGATCTGGACTGTTCTCAGGCAAGCCGGGGAGTAACTTTTAGTTTTGCTCCTGCGATTATTCAACTGACGGGCTTTCATTTCCATTTCACACACCCTAGCAACACTTATACCTTGCGGAATTGTACTGGTAGCGTGAAAAAAAGCACACTGAGAGGTAACATTTTTCAAATAATAGTTGTGACTGTGCGTGTGTTTCTCTCGAGGGCATGTTTATGGGGGCTGGAGGGGCTGTGTGTGTATGCGTGTCCTGATGCTTTGACACGGTGTTTTGCAGACGGAAAATGCCGGGGTTCATAAATATTAATACCGATTTTTGGAGGAACAGTCGGCGCGATTATGGATCATCTGATTTTAGGGGAAGCAGGTTCTGTTGCTGTTGCTGCTGCTACAGGGGCTGCTGAGGCTGCGAGGAGGAGGAGGTGGAGGAGGAGGAGGAGGAGGTAGAGAGGGAGGAGGAGGAGGAGGTTGGTGGAGGTTTAATTTCACTTTTGGATTCGCAGATGCGGAGAGGTGGCTCCATGGACACAGACCTGCTCAGTGTGATTCTGTGCCCCAGGTGTTGTGTATGGGGGTGCAGGTCCTCTGGAGTCGGGCCTCATTTAAAACAAAATTATCGTGTGTATGTGTGTGTGTGCACGTGTGTGTGTACAGCCACCGTCGCCAGCAGATCCGAAGGAGGGGAGCTGGTCCTTCTCGGAGCCCGGCGGCGGCGCCTCTCCGCGGGCAGCCTCCAGCCACACCGAGCAGGCACCCGCCGTCCGCCTGGCTGCCCGCGCCCTGGCCCGGAGGGCGCCTCCCGCCGCGGCGAAGGAAACTTGATGGGGCGCCCCGCAGCAGTCCCAGGGCCCGCCCGCCGCCGGGCTAGGGGTAGGGTCGCGGGCGTCGGGTGCCAGCGGCCGGAGCCGGAGGGCGGGCTGCGAGCGCGGCAGGGCGCCGGGCCTGGCCGACGCGCCCCGCTTCCTGGGGGCTGGGCCGCCGCCGCCGCTCGGAAGGGACGCAGCGTCCTACTTCCCGCCGGCCAGCACCCGGCCTGGCCCTGGGGCTTTGTCATTGCACTTGTCCCGGCGCGCGAGGGGCTCGGGCGGCGCTTCCCGGTAGGGCGCCGCGCCCAGGGGTCATCTGCCCAGGCCGCGGCCTAGCGCCGTGCGCCCCCGGGTCCCCGCAGGCGCCCCCGGGCCGGCCTCGCGCGCTGGGCCTGACCCGCCTCGGCTACGGAGCGGGCGAGGTGGGGGCGGGGAGCCTCCGGGGACAGAGCGGCGCCCTGCGGGCAGGCGTGGGGGCCGGCGTCCCCTTGGGGTCCAGGGGTGCGGGCTGCGGCGGGGTGGGGACGTGAGTGCCCGCCCCGTGCCCTCCGACCCGGCTCTGGGCGCCGGGTGACATTCGCCGGCTGGCCGAACATGGTTGGTGCAAAGCCGCGGCCGCCACTTCCTTTCCGCCCCGCCGGCCGGGCTCGCCCACCGAGTGAAGCCGGCCGCGGCCAATCGCGGCGCCCGCCCGCTCCCAGTGGCTCGGCCGGGGGGCCGGCGCCCGAGAGGGCTCGGGGAGCCTTGCCAAGTTGGAAGGGCTTCGGCTGAAACTCATCCCCTTCCCCAGGACGCACTGGCAACTCCCTCTGCCCCGGGTCCTTAGAAGGGGGGCGGGGGGGAGGGAACGAGGCTGGCAGCCCGAGCGGGGCGCAACGCCGGGTCAGTCGGCGTAGGCAGGACCCCGGTGAACGGCTGTAAATGTGACCCCTGGGACTGGTAGTCCAGGTAGCCACATATTAGCGAGGTGGCTTTCACTCGTTTCTAACCCCTTAGTGTTTGAAACTTGGGGACATATTACCTACCCCCTCCCTCTTCAGTCTCCTGCCTCCAGCTGCTTCTTGTCCTTGGTTATGGAATAAGAAAACGCCGAGTCTTTCTAAATGAGGAAAAGTGGTGCTGGCATTTGTCTTCTGCCACTGGCCTCCCTGTGGCAGTGACTCGGTCTGCTTTTGATGAATGGCCAGGCAGGGGGGAGGATAGTTAGATTTCCTGTTGTAGATTTTCAGGAATCACTAAGGCTGCTGTCAAGCCTGCACTCATTTATTAGTTTTCAGATTGCCTGCAAGTAACGTTGGAACTTAGCAGCCTGCACTTTCTGGCGCTTCAGGGCAGGTGCAGACAGGGGCTGGGGTGAGGCTCAGGTGGTGCATGGTCTTGACGCTGGACAGATGCAGGCTCCCTTTCCAGCCCCCCAGGGTGATCCTGTTTAACTTTCTCACGCACCCAGATTCAGGACTCAATGATTTTCCCAACCCTTCTTTGTTCTTCTTTTGGGGGAAAATAGAAACCTAAAAAATCCTGGACAAAACTTGTCTTTTCTGAGGTCAGACGGGAGCGGGCGCGTTTAGGGCGGCACGGCTGTAGACAAAACTTGTCTTTTCTGAGGAAACTTGAGCAGATGGAATATTTGGGACTTAAACTGGCATCTCCAGGGGCAACCTTGGAGCATCTATTGATTGATGTGGCAAAGTCCAGAATTTCACTGTAATTAGTGAATGATTAGAATTTATAGCTTATCCTGTTGTGTAAGAAGTTAGCTTTTGGTCTCTTGACTTAGATCCAAGAGTTCTTGTCTGTTATGATTTGTAACTGCTTCTTAAAATTAAACATTTACATATTTCATTCTCAATGAGTTTTTTTTTTTTTTCTGTTGACCTGTAAAAGCTAGAGGTAATTCCACATATGTCAGTCGGAAGTAAGGATTTGTAGTCAGATTGGAACCAAATTATGGCAAACAAATGGTTGTCATAAAGTAATGACAGGTCTGAACCATGGTCCCACTCTTTTCTTATTCTGCTTTCTGAAATACTTTATTAGGAAAATATTCAATATACCAGAGCTAAAGATGTTTAAATTTAGTGGTGACAAATTTGAAACTTTGGACGTTCAACATTTGATGTGCATCAGTTTTCTTATGTTACTAAGGATATTGTATTTTTATTCTTAACATTATCTGATATAAACTCTTGTTTTTAGAGCATTTCTACATAATTTCCTTTTGATAGTGAGCAGAACACTGAACTGTAAATGGGGTATCTGGGTCATGCTTCCCATATGTGCCTTATACCAAAAAGGGCTTAAAGCAGACAAGGGAATTTATTTATACATTTAATAAATATTTGTAGAACGTTTACCCTGTGCTTGACACAGTGTTAAGGCTCTGAGTATTCAACTGACAACAAGAAAGGCAACCTGTTTACACTCAGGGTTGCATTCTCTTTGATGAACTGATAACAAACAACAAAAAATAAATGCAGTAGTTACCTTTTGGTGTTAGTTCTATGGAAGGTAATAATACTTAACTATATATCTCACAGGATTGCTTTTGTGAACAATTGAGATACTGTGTATGAAAGAACACTTGCATAAATTACAGCAATCTACAAATGTGTAAGGCATTAACTTCCAAAATTCTATCAGATTACTATTAAC